CGTTCAACCCATGTTCTTCTACCAACTTTAAAAAAAACGTGTTGTTTTTTTTTCTTTTATTTACTTAAGAGAGAGAGGAAGTGAGAGGGAGAGATAGAAACATCGATGAGAGAGAACATCAACTAGCCGCCTCCTGCACGCCCCCCACTGGGGGTGGGCCCACAACCTGGGCATGTGCCCTGACTGGGAATCAAACCAGTGACCTCCCGGTGTGTGGGTCGACGCTCAACCAGTGAGCCACTCCAGCTGAGCCATTTTACAATGTTCTAATACCCTCTACATTTACTGGAAGGGTCTGGTTTCCTCCCAACATTTTATGCAATGATTCTACCCATGCTTCTGGCTTTGAATATCTGTTTCTTTTGTGTTGAAAACTAAAAGCACTAACCCGTCTTCAACATTGTTCCAGGGCATACACCTACAACCTACTGCCTAAGTCCGCCAAAGCCACGTTGGTGTGAGAATGTTACAGTGCTGGTGGAATGTTACAGTGCCACTGTTGGAATATCCGGTCCTGCTCCCCTAAAGGCCTGCAGTTGATTCGATGTTGCCGAAATAGCATCTCCCTCCCGAGAGCGCTGGAGCAGAAAGCCGCTTGCTATATTTAGCAGCTGCTGGACTGGGCAGGAGCCTGGGCCGGTGAATGAAGAGAACACCTAGAGCAGTTTGCTGCTGCTGCTGGGTGTCAGATCCTCCACAGCCCAGTCCAGCTCCCAAAGCAGTACCTAAACCAGTACCAGTTCCAGACATTGTGCCCAAACCAGTGCTGCATCCAAAACCTTTGCTCTGGGTGCCACCGAGGTGCCCTTAGTGCCAGTGTTCCCTGGCGCACAAAAGCTAAATGCAGAGCCTGCCGTTGCAGACGCTGCCCACACCCTCTGAGGGCACCCATGGGGGCTGCGGGCTGCAGTGGTGCCCAAGGGAGACCCACGTTCAAAGGCCATGTCGCAGGAGCAAGGGACCAAGAAGCTGCTCCCCGGATACTCGGCACACTCCCTCACCGTTTCCAGTCAACAGTCTACTGGAGGTTTCAGCCTGGAGAATAAGGCAAGAAAATGAAATAAAAAGGTATCTATTTCTGTACAGAAGAGGGAAGAAATAAAACTATCTTTTTGGCCCTGGCTGGTTTGGCTCAGAGTGTCGCACTGTGGACCAGAGAGGCCCAGGTTCGGTTCCCACAAAAGGCATGTAACTTGGTTGCAGTTTGTCCCAGGCCCCGGTTGGGATTGTGTGGGTGGCAGCCACTCGATATGTATCTCTCACATTGACATTTCTCTCTGTCTTTCTTCCTCCCTCTCTCCCTCTATCTGAAGATAAATGCAAAATTGTCCTCCGGTGAGGATTGAAAAAAAAAACAACAAAAAACTATCTTTTTGTAGATGACATGACCTTATCTACAGAAAATCCTATAAAAATTAAAACAAATAACCTACTTCAGGAAAGTTTTAGAAGACAATGTCCATATAAAAATCAACTGTTACCTGGCCGGTTTGGCTCAGCAGTTAGAGCATCGGCCTGCGGTCCAGAGAGACCCGGGTTCAGTTCCCGCTAAGGGCACGTACCTCCGTTGCAGTTTGTCCCTGGCCCTGGGTGGGTCGGGTCGTGTGGATGGCAACCACTTGATGTGATCCTTTCATGTCAATGTTTCTCTCTTTCTCTCTCTCTCTCTCTCTCTCTCTCTCTCTCTCTCTCTCTCTCTCTCTCCCTCTCTCTACCTCCCACTCTATCTGAACAAAAAATAGAAAAATGTCCTTGAGTGAGGCCAAAAATAAATCAACTGTGTTTATATGCATGTCCACTGAACAATCTGAAAATGAAACCAAGTCACTTGATGTCCTTTCATTATATTGATGAAATGTTGTAGGAGCTTAGTTCTTATTTAGGTCAATCAGCCTACGGTCACATAGTTTTGTTATACATCATTTTGCTACAGCTTCGAGAAACTACTGACAACATGAAATGAGGACTTCCTGTATTCCCCAAACCACCTACTAATTCAATGCAATCTCTTTAAAGTCCAAACTGCTTTAAAAAATTAACAAACTGAACCCAGCATTTATATGAAACTCTAAGAGGCCCAGAACAGTCAAACAATGTGGTATAACAACAACAAAATGTTGGAGAACACGTACTTCTGGATTTCAAACTCATCACGAGGCTACAATATTGAAGACAATGTTTTGTTGGCACAGGATGGACTTATACATAAATGAAAACATCCAGAATCCAGAAATAAATGACCACATCTATAGCCAAGGGATTTTGACAAAGATGCCAAGAAAATGCAATACAGACAGAACAGTCTCTTCAACAAATGATGCCGGAACAATGGGATTCACACACACAAAAGAATGAAATTGGATCCCTTCCTCACACCCTATAAAGACATTCACTCAGAATGGAGCAAAGGTCTAAATGTAAGACAGGAAACTATAAAACTCTTAGAAGAATCTATAGGCATACATTTTTATTATCTTTGATTTGGCAATGTTTTATTAAGTGTGACAACAAAAGCATAAGCAATAAGATTTTTTAAAAATAGGTCAATTTGACTTTATCAAAATTAAAATCTTCAGTGCATCAAAGGGCATTACTAAGAAAGTGAAAAGACAACCCACAGAATAGAACATTTTTGCCAATCATATATCTGAAAAGGATTAATTCTATATAAGACTATATAAAGGACCCCTATATATGTAATATTAACAAAAAAACTATTTTAAAAATGGGCAAAGGATTTGAATACACTTTTCTCCAAAAAAGCCATACAAATGGTCACTAAGCACATGAAATCATAAAATCAAAATCACTATAAAATACCACTTCACACCCATTAGAGGGCTATGATAAAAAAAAAAAAACAAAAAAAAACAGAAACCAGAAAATATAGATGCTGGCAGGATGTGGAGAAACTGGAACTCTCGTGCTTTGCTGAGTGTAAATGGCATACCTGGCTCTAAAACCCCCTACCACTTCTTCAGGAAGGCGAGCACAGCCCCGGCCAGTGTGGCTCAGTTGGTTGATCGCCGAACCATGCATTGAAAATCTGCTGGTTTGATTCCCAGTCAGAGCACATGTCCAGGTTGTGGGTTTGATCCCCTGCAGGGCACATACAGGAGGCAACCAATCGATGTTTCTCTCTCACATCAATGTCTCTTCCTCTCTCCCTCTCCCTCCTCTCTCTCTAAAGTCAATGAAAAAAAATATATATTTTTTAAAAAAGTAAACATAAAACAACCACATTACCCGTAATTTCTCTTCTAAGCAAATTCCCATGAGAAATAAAAACATAGTCACACACAAAAACTGTATAAGAATGTCCCTGGTAACATTATTCATAAAAGCCAAAACATGGAAGCAGTACAAACATCCAGCAGCTAATACGTGGCAAGTAAAACATGGTCCCTCCGTGCAATGAGCCACAGTCAGCAATAAAGACACATGAGATACTGCCGCTATAGCACAGTGAGCCAAGTGAAGGATGTCAGGAACCGAAGACCACCCACACTGTCTGGCTGTACTTACAAGAGATGCACAGAAGTGTAAATCTATAAAGACAGAAAATATATTTGTGGCTGCCTAGGGATGATGCTGGGGGGGGGGGCATTTGGTGGGGGCGTTCAGGGTTTTTCTTGAGTGATGCAAGTATTCAAAGACTGATGGGGTGATCATTGCATAGCCCTGTGGATATGCTAGAAACTACTGAATTGGATGAGTTATATTTCAATGAAGTTGTTATTTAAAAAAACAAAAACAAAAAAAACAGGCCTGGTCAGTGTGGCTCACTGGTTGAGTGTCAACCCCTGCACCAAGAGGTTGCTGGTTCAATCCCCAGTCAGGGTACATGCCCAGGTTGTGGGCCCGATCCCCAGTGGGGAGCATGCAGGAGGCAGCCCATTGATGTTCTCTCTCACGGATGTTTCTATCTCTCTCTCCCTCTCCCTTTCTCTCTTTCTCAAATCAACAAAGAAAAACAAAATTTTTAAAAAATAAAATAAAAATAAAAATAAACAGAAGACATTGGGAGGGGCAGGAATGGACTGTGTCTGATGTCATCATCTGCTGGTCTGAAACGACTCACAGCTCTGAAGGAAAAGGTCCAGAGACCCGGGTGTGAGACTGTTGCAGCTCACAGCCTCGGCCTGGTTCCCCACAGCCACGCAATGCAGACAGCCCGTGCTCCAGCAGAGGTGACAAGTGAGCAGTGGGAGACTCGTGCTGTCCAGTCAGCACACTGAGTGAATGCAGACGCATGCGAGGAGCGGTGGGGTCTGACGGCCGAGAGGCCCGGCACCCTGGGCCGGCCAAGTGCTCGACCTGCCGCCCGCCTGCATATGGGTGGTGGCTACAAAGCTGTAAATGCTGGTAAAAGGTGATGGTCAGCCTATTCTGAATACTTTTATTCTTTTAAAATTATGGAAGGGAGCCCGCTGGTGTGGCTCAGTGGATGGAGCGTCGTCCCATGGACGGAGAGGTCCCAGTTAGACTCCTGGTCAGAGCACGCCTGGGTTGCAGGCTCCGTGCCAAGTAGGGGGCGTGCAGGAGGCCGCTGATCAATGTTTCTCTCTCACATGATGTTTCCATCTCTCTCTCTCTTTTCCTTCCTCTCTCGCTAAAAAAATCAATTAAAAAAATGTTCTTTAAAATTATGGAAATGAAATACCAAAATTTTAAAGAAGTAACTGAAAATTGGGAACTCCGATAGAATTCATTCTCAGATCCCAGGTTAAAACTCTTGTTGTTAGCTATCAGGTATGATAGAATTGGAAGGCAGGCTTTTCACTGGGAGGCTGGCAACATTGTAGCCATGGGGTAGGTGGAAAAGGGGGCCGGCGGAATGTGCGAGAGCTGAAGTCTTTTCGCCCTGGGCTGGAGCCATGGGAACTGAGGGGATGGCTAGAGACCAGAGTGTAGATTTCTCCCTGAAGATATTCGGGGATTAAGGAAAGGAGAAGGGGTCCTCGCTATAGGGCAGGAGTTAAAGGAACCAAACAGATTACCTGCCGAGGTCTGGGAAGGCTGTCCCCTGGGGCAAATCGGGAAGAAAGCAGGAGTCACCGGGACCAGGATCACGCCACAGGGTGGTCTTCCAGGAGAGAAGCGAGTGTGGGCAAAGCACAGGGCACCTGTGCAAGCCAACCCAAACCACGCCTGCCGTCTCCGCTGAAAACTGTGAGACAAACACATGACAAAAGGCATGATGCATGCATTTGTTTTGAAAAAGATTACGGAATCCTCTTTCCTTCACACCCGGGCCCTTTCCTTCCACAGCCTCCATCTCTCTTTCCAGAAATAACCACTGTCAAAAAGAAATGAAACTCAGTTGTCACGTGCTGGTGTTCACCTTTATAACTTTAAACATTCATTGCTTAAATAATAGATATGAACGTCTATTATTTTTTTGCAACTACCGTTGACATGCAATATTAGTTTTCTTTAAATATTTTTTCATTATTGAATTTAGAGAGAGAGGAAGGGAGAGGGGGAGAGAGAGAGAAACATTGATGAGAGAGAACATCGACTGGCCGCCTCCTGCACGCCCCCCACTGGGGATCGGGCCCACAACCTGGGCATGTGCTCTGACCAGGAATCAAACCGGTGACCTCTTGAGCCACACCAGCCAGGAGAGATTTGCTTCTTAGTGGGAAACATCTCCTGATCAAAAAGAAGAGTTTGAACTATATGGTTCACCTTTTTCCAAAGAAGCGGAACCCTGTGTCAGGGACGTGGTCTCACAGGGCTGTGGAGACCCTGGCCAGGCCAGTGGGAAGCAGCTGCCACACCTGCACCAGCTGACGAGGCAGGAGGGCGTCTGAGAACTCATTGCAAGACTCTTAACATCTGCACAGAGGAAACACGTGGGGAGAAACAGGCCTTCTTGGGACAGAAGGGGTAGAATACATTATCCTTCAAGAGTTGCACTATCCAGAGGCAAATAGGCCCACAGCTTAAGCACAGAAATAAGAGTCACGATGTTTGTCTGCAGCCACACACCTGCACACTTACACATGAGTAAGACAGTGCATTTTAAGTTATGTGCGTTTTGCCACAGTAAAAACACGTGCTGGTATGTAAACATCTTTAGCAACAACAGAACCATGACCCCAAGGCTGCGATCACCCAGCACACACAGTCAGCACCCACGTTATACAGCACGAGGGTGTCATCTGATCTGACAAAGCCAAAAGTGTCAAATTTCCCAAGATCAATTAAAATGAGCACCTACTTCCTGAACTGAATTTTGTGCTCTATTGAAGGTGATGCGAAGCGTGTCAGCCGGAGCAGTAAAACAAACCTGCAGACTGCGTTGTCCAACGTGGCAGTCGCTCGGCCCCGGAAATGCAGCTGGACTTGATGAAGTCGCCCTGCACTGAATGCTGAACACTTAGTTCAAAGAATGTGTCCAAATTGTGTCTATCAGCAGACAAGCGGATAGAGAGGCTGTGCTACATTCGCACAATGCAACACCACTCTGCTATGGAAACAAGACAGTGTTTCATGCTGAGTGAAAGAAGCCAGTCAGAGAAAGACAAGTGCCACAGGATCTCACTTATTTGGGGAATATAATGAACAAAATAAGCTGATGAGCCAAAAAGACCCAGAGACACAGAAGTAGGGTTCAGACGGACAGACCTCAGGGCAGGGGGGAGGAGGAGATAAACCAAAGCACTATATCCCCTATACGTAACCAATGGACATAGACAACAATGCGGGGGGGGGGGTCAGAAGGAGGGTGTCTGGGGGTGGGGGAGGAGAAACATCTGTAACAAAAGTAAATTAATAAAAATTGCAACAAAAGAAAACACACACACGCAAAAAAAGAAAGACCATGTTACCCTTTGCAACAGCATGGAGGGACCTGGAGAATATTGCGCTGAGTGAAATAAGCCAGTCAGAGAAAGACAAGTACCACATGACCTCACTGCTCTGTAGAATTTAATGAAGTAACTGAACTACCAAGCAAAATAGAGACAGACTCATAGACATGAATAACTCATAGACTGCTCTGGGGGGGCGGGTGTTGGGAGGGTAGGTAGAGGGGTTAAGTAAAAAAATGAGAGAGAGAGAACTCATGGACATGGACAGTAGTGTGGTGACTGTGGGGGGCAGGGGGTAGGTGGAAGAGGGCATCTCAGGGATAAATGGTGATTAAAAAATAAAATAAAAATGCAAAAAGAATATTAAGTATTTCATTTGCAGTTTTGATATTGATTACAAGTTGAAATGATAATATACATAATCACTGGGTAAAGTAAAAAATTTAAATTAACTTTACCTGTGTCTTGTCACTTTTTATTTATTTATTTTTTATTTTTGCATTTATATTCAGATAGAGTGGGAGGGAGAGAGAGAGGAAGAGAGAGAGAGAGAAACATCAATGTGAGAGAGATACATCGACTGGCCGCCACCCACATGACCCCAACTGGGGCTGGGGACGAACTGCAACCGAGGTACGTGCCCTTAGCGGGAACCGAACCCAGGTCTCTCTGGCCTGCGGGCCGATGCTCTGCTGAGTCAAATCGGCCAATGCATGTGTCTTGTCATTTTTTAAAATGCCATCCCTAGGAAACGCAAAGTTACACACATGACGAACATGTGTATTTACTGGTCTACACTGCTCTAGAACATAGAAACCACCCTCCAGCTTCCTTCGGCAAAGTTTAACCACACAGCACACATAACCTAGTATATTACAGAATGTAAATGAATGTGACTTTTCGTAAAACTTAACATCCTCTTCTCATTGACAGTGAAAGGCACCACAAGCCACTGCGAAAAGACTTATTTTTCTGCTGTGAAAGAACACGACACCACAAAACAATGGATGGCGACATGCCGTCCTCTGAGTCCTCGGGGAACAGAGAAGAAAGCCGAAGTTTGAGTAGGGTGGTATGGGACGTTTCACAGGGAGCCCCGGGCTACCAGCTCGAAGGGACAGACGCACTCGGGGCCTCCGCGCTGCCGCTGGCTGGAATCAGCCTCGCCCCGCAGGAGCCTGGGCCCCGGACTCTCAGCATCTTTGCCTTTTCCTCCCCTGTTCCCTGAGAAGGAATCCCTGAAGGAGGGGTCCCTCACCGGCCCCTCACCGCATTCAACCCAAACACGTCACAAACGGCCGACACCCGGACCGACGGCCTCTGCTGCCCAAGCGCATTTCTGAGGCAGCCAAGGAAAAGTGTACCGGGAAGATGAGTGACTCTTTAAAGAGCCATTAGTACGTTTTTGAAAAATCTACCTGTGTGTAACCACTCGGGATGGCAAGGTCAATGGGAACAAAGGTTACAAAGGGTGTGTGGTACCATCACAGACAACCGGAGGAGAGGGGATCCGGGGCGTCCTTCATCAGTCCGCGGGAACAGCAAAGGAGCCATAGCCCAAAACAGGCAGGTACTGGGTAGCACGCGTTTGGATGACGTTTTCTTTGTTTTTCATGTATAGAAGAGCATTCATGAGATAGAGTCTTTACGATATTTTATATGGAGAGAAGGAGCAAACGCAAAAATATTTTCTGCCACATGCTGGGTCACCAGTTACCTTGCGACAAAGAAAACGTAAATGCTGTGGACCCAAAGGGCTCAAATTGCATGTTTTTCATGTATAAAAATGCTACTGCTCTAAACCCACTACCGTTTTCTGTGTGGCAGGAGGCTTTTCCTAGTGTGCTATGTAGCAGGTGTTTTTCAAACCTAAGTACCCTTCCTCCAGCCCTGTAATATAAAGGTGGCGTTTAAGTATGAGCTGGGCCTGGCCGTGTGGCTCAGTGGTTGAGCATCGACCCTGCACCAAGAGGTCACTGGTTTGATTCCCAGTCAGGGCACATGCCCAGGTTGTGGGTCCGATCTTCAATGGGGAGCATGCAGAGGCGGCCAGTCTATGTTCTCTCTCATCGATCTCTATCTCTCTCTCCCTCTCCCTTCTTCTCTCTCTAAAATAAATAAAGAAAATAAATTAAATATAAGTTGGGGATACAGTACCTGCTTTGCAAAAAAAAAAAAAGAGATGTATAGAAATGCTTCCACCAATACATGATTTTGCCAAAAGCAATGCAAATGTGTCCCTAAAAAGTTTTCCTGGTCTTAAAAACTTGAAGACCAGTTCTCTCAGGAAGTCCAAGTTCTCCCAAATGGAGGCCTACCATGGGTGTAGGTGCATTTTGTGAAACACATCAATGCAACCTTTCAGTTACATTTCATGAAAGCACATGGATGAACCTTTCAGTTACATTTAGTGAAACACATCAATGCAACACCTGTCAGTTACATCGAGCCCACGGAGCCGACGAAGCGAGAGAGGCCAGAGAAGCACCGCCTGGAAGTCGCCGTCCGAACAAACATGTGAGTTGGCGGCGTGAACTCGGGCGCTGGGGGAAGAAGTCCCAGGCCGGCTGACGGAAGCACAGGAGCATATACAGATTCCAGACACTGAGTTCTAGGACGGTGGACGAGTGCAGGAAGGAAGGAAGGTCGATGCGGCCGGAGAAGCGATGGGTAGGGGACGGCGCTGGGGGGGTGCAGAGGCAGCTTTCCCGGGAGACAGCCAAGAGGCCACTGAGGGTGTTGGGTAGAGAAGTGGCATGCTGGCCCTGCTGCAGTGGGACCTCCTGAGGCCTCTGATGGACAAGAGCGGAAGCATGAGCCCTGGGGAGAGGTGCTGGCAGGGGACAGGGTGAATGTCACCGCTCCCAATGAGCTCACCAGGAAGACAGCCTCCCACCTCCGCCCGTGTAATGCTTCCCCTTCTGCTAAATTCACCCTCCCGGGGGTGGCATCTGGTTCCAGGACGTCGGGTACCAACCACATGCTAATCCCTGCCAGGCAGGCCCGGGCCAGGCCTCTCCCGCACCACGGGCTGGCAGGCCCCTCTTCCTGGACACTACCCCTCGCAGGCCTTGGCGACGACCCAAAGACAACATGTGCAGAACCGAACTCCCCATGGGGCCCGGAGCTGCTCCCCTTCTCTGCCTCAGGCAACCTCTTCCTTCCAGCCCACACTCGCGTGGTCCTCCCCACCCCTCTGGTTTCCTGTGTCTCAGGTCAACCCAGCAGCCAAGTGTGTGAGTGGTACCTTCGAAGCATGTCCACACCTGACCACGAATCACCTCCCCCACTGTTCCCATGCTTCCCAAGAGACTGTCACCTCTTACCAGGACCACTGCAGTGGCCTCCTAAG